TGTTTATGTCTACAAAATATAGACTATACTACTCATCCAAGCATATTATAATCCGTCCGAACAAGCAAAACAAAACCACAACTTCGATACGTAAGCAGATTTTTGTGTTGAAAACTATGCATCATATTATCAGCTTTTTTTAAAATATAATCTGAAAATAAGTTCAATTTTCTTTACATTAATTAAGTCATAAAAAATGAGTTACCCCAACAATTTGGAGCAATTATGATCACGACTCAATTTAAAATGGGTATTGTACAACGTAACTGGAACCAAACTGGTTTGTAAAATGTAAGAACAAGAATTGGTTCAGTTCCAAACTATTTTTTTTTTTTTTTTGGATAGTTAGGTCAATAATGTCAGGTGCACGAAGATTTCTAACATGATTGATAAGACTTATGACTAAGGTTTGCTCCGCTTAAAATGTAAGGTTGGTTATTTCATATGGGGTCGGGTAGTTCAAATAAGTTTTAATTACTTGTCATAACTCTAATCTCTAATGTTAATGATCCAGATCGGTTTATGTCGAAATAGGTCGACATTGGTCGGTTAGATAGGGTGTGTATTTCCCATCAATATATAACACTAAATAATATACACAAGTTTTAATTAAAGACAAAGTAGTTTAGTTTGTAGATCAGACCATATAGTTGTTATTTTAATGGTCAAGACTCAAGGTATTAAGAGTTCTTGATTACACTTTTAATATATAAAAAAAAAAAAAAAATCTTACATTCTAGAAGAGTAATTTAATACTTATATTTATAACATGTGTTTATTTTTGTGAGCTTTTTTAATGAGTTATGAATTGTAAAAATTATTTAACTAGATTAATTAATTTACATTAAATATATTTTGTGATTTAATTATAGAAAAAATTGGAAGATAACTTACTTTTTTTTAAAATCATTTAATTAAATGTAATCTAGAAGTTTCTATTATTTGTTATCATATCACATCCAAATTATTATAGAAAATTTTGAAATTGATCTAGCCAAAATAAAAAAGTATTTATAAATATCATATCAAAATGTGTGTTATTTATAATGTGATTTCTATTCAAATCGTTTTATCCTTTGATTATGTTTCATATTTTGTTATAAATATTTTTTTAATCACGTTTTGGAATATTTTGATTTCACATCCCTAGTCAAAAAGATTTTTAACTCCCCATGTTGTAAATTTTGCTTTAAAAATTTTTATTAACAATTATTTTACTATATAGTGTGATAACAATGCTATTGTTTGTAAGCTTATTTGATTTTAAATTGTGTATTTAGTTGAGCAAATACCAATTTTGGTCTCACGAGTATTAGCAAAATGACAGTTTTGGTCCAACATGTTTAATTCCTACCGATTTTCATCCACGACTATTGTTTTAGTACCAATTTTAATTCACGACTATTATTTTAGTGCTAAAACTCATCACATTGGTCACCCATCTATTTAAGATATCCCGAAATCTAAAAATTTTAAGGGCATTTTCGTCCTTTTCAACTTAAAATTCCAATTTGAGCATAAATAAATGAATTTAAGCCCTAAGATCGATCCCAATTCGTAGTTCTCATCCTCATCCTATCTTAATTTGAGGAAGAAAAGTGCGAATTAAGATAGATCTTAGGGTTTAAATCCCTTTATTCATGCTCAAATAGGGATCCTAATTTGAAAAATACGAAACTACCATTAATAATTTCATATTTCGGCATGTTTTAAATGAAGGGGTGATCGGCGTGATGAATTTTGACATTAAAACAATAGTTGTGGATGAAAATTGATACTAAAACAATTGTCGTGGATGAAAATTAGTAGGAATTAAACATGTGGACCAAAACTGACATTTTGCTAATACTTGTGGGACCAAAATTGATATTTGCTCTATTTAGTTTTGTAAACTATAATTATTTATTTATGGAGGCACTGATTTGACTATTGATTATTTTGCATTTTAAAAAGTACCTAAATTTTTTCCATTATTATAATTATGTAAAATTTTAAAAAATTTGTAAATCTTGTTTCAAGTTATTTAACATTAATAAATTTTCTCATTTAATTTAATTTTAAAATTTTTATTTTGTCATGCCCTAGTCCTATAAAATGATAGGACCACATGATTCCAATTCCTTGTATTTTGGAACCACAAATTATCATTTATAATTGAAATCATGATTTACATCCTCCTAAATACTTTGTCGGATCAGAGTGTGGGGCCCTTAAGATTGGGGTTCAACCTTGAAAAAATAATTGAAATCAAACCGTGACCGCCTCATTTGATTTATAAACTGCTAATGCAATTACAATCCCTAAACATCCTAATCACTCAATTCTTGTTTGATACTCATCTCATCAATCTCAACATTTATTCTTAATTAACTAAACACCTCTTAGTTACCGGGGCGTTTGGTTAGAATGAAGAAATTAAGGGGAAATGAATTGTAATTTGGTGGAAAAAGAATAAGGTGATAATAAAGTTAGAATTCAAATTACGTTGTTTGGTGAGGATGAATAGAATTATTAAGAATGAGAAGGAAAGAAGTTGTATAAAGACTAAAATATTATTGTGTAATCATAATAATAATGACCAAGGATAATAACGTTATTTCGTCTATTTTTTACTTTCTCACAACTATTGAATTGTAATTCATTTATAACGATATCTATGAATTACAATTCAACAAACTTTCAGACTGAGTGAATTGCAATTTTGTAAAATTACAATTCTTTCCAATAAAACATTGTAATTAAGGTGGTAAAAAAAATATAATAAAATTGCAATGCAATTCATATGTACCAAACTAACCTATTAGTATTCCACTCACCTCCAGCCTCCAGGGTGCAGCTCATTCCACTACAAAAGCCTTCTTAGCTTCCTCGAAAGTATCAATATCCTTTCTCCTATAAAACTACTTAGTTTGGAATGTATGTAAACTTATATCAACCTACGCATTAGCGTAAGTATTATCGTTTCTATAAACAATACAAAGTATATATCTTCTTAAAAAAACAGTGTAATAAGAAATAGGAAAATACTATTCATACTTTTAATAAATTATATTCCTCACTTGTATTTCTTTTCACAAAATTTTGATGTTTATAGTTTTATTAAGATACACATGATGAAAAATAACCAATTATCAATTGCCACGTCAATAAGTAAAAGTGTAGTGTCACATCAAAAAGTAAAAATGAAGAAGTAAAAATAGAGAATACATGTAGTAGAATTCTACGAAATATAATTGCCAAATACCTTGGGGGCGTTTGTTTCCCGGAATCTTGGATTATCCCAAGTAATAGGATTACCTTCAGGAACGTAATGTGAATTTTGACAATGTAAGATTACCTTTGTGTTTGGTTTGGATTGTGGAATATAATATTACATTGTTTGATTAAAGATTATATTTTAGGTTATATCGATCAATTTACTATAATGTCCTCAATAATATATATATATATATATATATATATATATATATATATATATATATATATATATATATATATATATATATATGTGTGTGTGTGTGTGTGTGTGTGTGTGTGTGTATTAATGCTTAAATATTAAAAAACTAAATATATAAATATACACACATGTATATTTATTATATAAATATTTATTTATTTTATTATTATTATTGTTATTACTCTCTCTGTCTTATTTTATCTGTCATACTTACTATTCATTGGTCAAATCAACTATTTCTTCTTTGTTTATTTTCTTTAGTATTTTTTATTATTTTTAAATTTAATTTTTTGTGTTTAATAGTACTTTTAGTATAGTTTCAAAATATATAAATTTTGTATACTAAATTTCAATCAAGTCTCGTTAATCGACACATAAAATAGGACGGATGGAGTATTATATAAGGATTAGTTAACAATGGCAAAGTTGAAATAATTTAAGATAATCTAAAATTATCTAAGAAAATGACGATAATCACATTACCGCCACATCAACTTTGAGATAATATAACATTACTAAGTAATTTATAACTTGAGTCAAACAAGTTAATATAATATTACAAGACTCAGATTACTTAGATAATTTAAGATTACGTGAATCAAACGCCCCTTATGATTTAATGACATTATTGTTACTTTTAATAAAAAAATGACTCAACTTTGAATCTCATGTTAATTAATAGTTCGCGTATTTTGTTGAACAAATACTATAATTAGATTAATGTACTAAAAAAAAGAATATAATTAATTTATAATAATGATAATATTTTAGAAAAAAGAATAGGGGCTCGGGGGCACGGGGCTCAAGAAAGAGTTGGAAGGGAAAAGGGCGGACAGACAGGCCAACCTAAATTTACGGAAGGGAGGCGTGACGCTGCAATCCGCCGTACCCTTCAGCTTTATGTCTATTTCAACTTGTGGGCCCGCTTTCCATATCTACCCCCAATTATTTTCACCACCTTTCTATTCTCTTCCGCACAACTCCTTCTCTTTTCTCCCCTCCTCTCATGTACTCCACCCTTTTTTAATTTTATTATTTATTTATACTCCTATTTTCAAAGAGAATTTTGATCAATATAGATTGTTGTGAGATCTGTATATTAATAATAAAGATGTAAGGTTGAGGTTCAATCTTTGGAATAATAAAGATCTGTATCAAAAAGAGTCTAAATATTTGTACATAGTTAATAATAAAGATTAAAAAAAGAAAAAAGTTAAAAACTTAGAAGCTTATTTTGAAAGTTGAAACGCTACTTGAGATAATATTTCAAAATAAATTATTCCGTATTATTTTAAATTTTCAATGTTTAATTAAATAAAATTTATAACTTATTTGTAGTTTAAAATAAATTATAAATTCTAAAATAACATCTATCAAACAAAACCTAAAACTTGTACCTTAAAAGCTAATTGCTATTAACATATTTGGACTACTAGCAAGGAGTCCAAATATGTGTACATACTAGTGTTCAGAATAAGTCACAAATATAACTCTATTTAACATATGTAACTTATAAGTTAGTTTAATGTTTATACTTTAATTAATGGGTTAGCATTTCAAAAGAAAGCTGCTAACTTATAAGTTAACAACTAGCATTTAAGCTAATTTAAACCTTAAAAACTAGTATGCTTTTGGTATATCTTTACTTTGTCATGGTTACAACACAAATCTATTCACTTATTTTGAGGTAATTAATTATAAGCTTTTTTATATATACTTCTATGTTCAAGTATCATACGTTAAACAATTAAATAAATATTTAATGAAAATACTTAATTTATTAAAAATAATAAAAATAATCAATGCATCATAAACAAAAATATATATATATAAAATTTGTAAGTATAGTAAAGAGTGAACAAAATGTACAAGTTATTAACAACCTAAGGAGAAATTGGAAACAAATGAAGATTAAAATTGAAAAAAAAAGTATAATATACAAACTAATATTATAATGGATTATACTAACACTTTTTCTACTCGCATTATAATTTTGCCACCATTTACATTTATATATAGACATAGATGTACAATAAAATGAATTAAATCTCAAATAATTATTAAGTATACAAATATTATTATACTAATTCTATAACTTGTCATTTTTGACAACATTAATAACATTTACCATTTAAGTGGTTTCTTTTGATATAAAATTTCAAAGATAAAATTGTGTTGAAGTTTAGCGAATTTGGTAACTACAAATGACCTATTAGCTCATAGTCATCTAATTGCATCTTATGAGTTTTGACACATGCTTTATTAGTATTATCTCTATAAATACTATTTTTCTATTAAACATATAAAATGAGTTGTTTATTAGCTTTCTCAATTTGAACTGATTGATTATAGATAATTTAAACTGATTTATTTTAGACAACAAATGCATAATATTATGAAAGAAAATTCTTAAGTCTGAAGGGCACAGAGTATCTTAGACTCTGGATTATTGTTCCCAAACATTACTCTTGTGACTAATTGAGAAGCACGGAGAAGATTTTAAATGCATTGAAGTAAAAAAATATGTATTAAACTAATATTTTTTTTATTATTAAAAATAAAATGTTATAAATTAGATGATTTTTTGGTGAAGAAGACGTGCCGTGCCAGATTCTACAGAGAGGAAAAGAAAGGACGAAACCCTCTAAAGGCTGTTCTGATTCCTGGTTCCGTTCCGTCGGAATATTGACGATTTGACGGTGAGTGTTTAATTATGGGAGATTTTGTTCGATAATCTAATGTTATAAACCCTAATTCGTATATCATAAACCAGATTATTAATTTGGTTCGTCGTTGTTGAAGATTTATTAGGGAGTGATTTGATTTGATTTGATTTGATTTGATTTTTGTTATTAAGAAATCTGCAGTTGTGGCTACTGGTAGGCGGGTGGTGTTACCATCTTCAGATAGTAATTTTTCCGACTGGGCTGTGGCTTCTTCTTCTGCTACTCATTCTTCTGCTGCTGCAGCCTTTGGGGACCTATCTTTAGGTTTTAATGCAGCCCCAAACTCCGCCGTGGACGGCGGCGCCGCCTCCGCTGCGGCAGGCCATGTTGGGGTGTGGAGCTCCTCTTCCGCTAGGCAGATGCAGCAGCAGATCAACCATGGAGTTCCGCCGGATATGGGCATGTTCGTGGTGGCGCCGGCGGCCTCTTTTCTCCACCACCATAACCAGAACCACCCCGCCTGCATCAGCTTTGACGGATCCAGCCCCGCCGCCACCGCGCTCGGGGTTGGAGTGGGTGTCAATGTTATTCCTTTGCTCGCCGACGATTTGGTGGTGAATAGCAGCCACCGTGGTCGCGGCGGCGGAGGATTGCAGCTGTGGCAGAGCCAAGATGCGGCGGCGGCGGCGGTGGCGGCTGCGGCTGGGCAGAACTCTTCCAGTACTAGCGCGGCGGCGGATATTAGTTATACCAAGAAGCCGGGCGAGCACCCCCACGGCAGCCCTAGTAGTAATTCCCAGAGTTTTTTTCAGCTTCAAGGCGGTGGTGGTGGCGCCGGCGGCGCCACCGCCTCGACTTGTCAAGACTGCGGAAACCAAGCAAAAAAGGACTGCGTCCATCGGAGGTGCCGGACTTGTTGCAAGAGTCGAGGGTTAGACTGTACGACCCACGTGAAAAGCACGTGGGTTCCCGCGGCCCGCCGCCGCGAACGCCAGCAAGGCTCTCACCCCTCCAGCCCCGCCGCCGTGACGGCGTCTTGTTCGCAGTCAGTTTCCTCCGGCAGCAAGAAACCCAGGCTAGTCCTGGGCAATAATTCCCAAACATCGACTTCAAACAACACGGCCACCACGCCGAGAAGCTTCGACACCGGCGACAGCGGCGGCGGCGGCGGGTCGATGCCGAAGCAGGTAACCGCCCCGGCGGAGTTCAGGTGCGTGCGCGTGAGCCCGGTGGACGGCGGCGAAGACGACGAGTTCGCTTACCAGGCCGTAGTGAGAATCGGCGGCCACGTCTTCAAAGGCTTCCTATACGACCAAGGCCTCGATAACGACGGCGACGATCACGCCGGAAACAATCCCCATCACCCCGGATTATTCCCCAACATATCCGACTTAAACTTGGGCGCCCGTGGAGCCAGTAACAACGTTATTCTCGGTTCCGGACATGGTACAACCTCGTCTCCGCCGCCGCCGCCGCCAATTCTTGCAGCTTCATCGTCAGAACCTCACGACATTTTCGGAATGGGAGGGGGTTCAAATTTTGGTATTGGAAACCCTTTCTAGTTTCTAGTAGATTGAAATTGATAAAATCGTACTCATTTATAAAGTCTGTATCTTCTGATGCTTAAGAACATACTGTACTTCCCTGCCAAATTTCGTAGACATTGTTGTACTTGTTTCTGGTTATTATTTAAGATTTAAGAAAGTTTAACTTTGATCTTAATTGTGAGTGATAAAGTGATGAACTTTTTGGGAATTAGAACATTCAGTGATGTTGGGTTGGACCCTATGGTGATGAGTGGGAATTGAGAGGATCATGTTTGGTAACATAAAAATGGTGGGTGTCTTGTCTGGACAGGACAAAATGTGATGAAAATAAAAGCATGGAGTCTGACTGTTCAGTTTAAGCCAAATATTGTTTCTGTTCCATTCTTATAATTTCATATTTGAGCAAAACATGCCCAGAAGTATTAAAATGGGTGAGGTTGGGGTTGTTTTGTCCTGTCAAATCAGATAAAAACGCCATTTTTGAAAGAGTTGAGAGTTGAGAGTTTGGTAAAAGGTGGCAGTTCTATTATGTGGACCACAATGAATTGGAGTGTCAAAATGGAAAGCTGCTCTGATCTGCAACTAGATGGGTCTAACAAGTAAACAACCATGGCCCAACCCTGTGTAAAAATTGCTACTGACCCAAAAATTGTCCTTTAGTTACAGTTCTCTATTGTACTATAGCCTTCCTCCCTGTCCATAGATAATGTCATAATAATATAATTTTTTTATTATTATTACTTTTACATATTTCATAGGTATCTACATACTCAGATTAAACTAATTTAGTTGAGTTTCATTTGGGCACAACTCTCTCAAGGATATTGGTTCAAAGTTCAAACTCTTGCCATCATGTTATCCTTTTATTTCTTTAATTGTCATAGTGCTTTTAATTTTGAAATATGATGTTTTTATGTATGATATATTGACATTGCAATAATTTTTGGGGCACTGTTATCTAGGGGTGACATCGGTTTCGATTTTGCAAATGGACAAACCGGAATCAGAACCTTATAGTAAGGTTCCGGTTCCTTTTCATCTCGAACCTTAACCGGAACCAATGGAACCGGAACCGGAACCGTACAGACGGTTCAGTTTTGGTTCCGGTTCAACACTGCACGGTTCAGTTCGAATTGAACCGTGATCATGCCTACTGTTATCTCAACAGTGTGGGTTCGAACCCTTGCTCTCGTATGGTTATTGTTGGATGGTATACTAGCAGGCTAATTAAATGAATTGGGCCAGTCAAGCACCTTGTGCAAAAATGGGATGTAGTGATTCTCTCATTTGGAGGTCATGAGATGGAGGCAGTGTTGACTCTTTGTGCTTCAATAGATTGAGAAAGGGCAAATTATGTTGTACAACCGTGTGCACCATGCATGGTGTACACGGAATTGGATCCATAATTTCTATACTATAAATTCATAATGTTCATATTCACAAATCACTAAACTATATTTTCATAATTTGATAACTATACAGTTTAGAAATTATGAATCTTTAGTTGAACAATTATGAATCTATAGTATAGAAATTATGAATCTACAGTTTAGAAATTATGAATTTATCGTATAGAAATTATGAATATATAATATAGAAATTATGGATCTATAGTATAGAAAATTATGGATCCAATTCCGTGTGCACCTTGCATGGTGCACACAGTTGCACATCATAACGCTCCTTGAGAAAGTATATGGATCGGGCCACCTATGACGTCCCTGTACTATAGTCAGCTATTGTCCTTAATTGTTTCAATTTTTAAAGTATAGGGACTAAATCGAAACAAATTAAAGTAGAAGAACTAAATTGAACAAAACACTATAGTACAGGGACCTCATAGGTAGGTCTAAATTGAACAAAATTAAAGTAGAAGAACCAAATTGAACAAAACACTATAGTACCGGGACCTCATAGGTACTTTGACCGAAAAACAACTGCATCAAGGAAGCCCAAGAAGAAGGCCCAGCACGAGACGGCAAGGGAGTTTCGAAAAAAAATGGATCTGGCCAAGGAAAACAATTGGATCAAGGAAGCCCAAGAAAAAGGCCCAGCACGATACGACAAGGGAGTTTCGATGGTAGTATGTTGTGCACCATGCATGGTGCACACTGTTCAATGTTCATAATTATAAAGCTATATATTCATAATTATTGAACTCTATATTCACAATTACAGAACTCTATGTTCATAATTTTCGATGTTCATATTCTTAATTGTTCAACTCGATTTGTATTCACAAATAACAGAATTATATGTTCATAATTTGATAATTGTACAGTTTAAAAATTATGAATCTACAGTATAGAAATTATGAATCTACAATACAGATATTATGAATCTGCAGTATAGAAATTATGAATCTACTGTATTTAAATTATGAATCTACGGTTTAAAAATTATGAATATACAGTATAGAAATTATGAATCTATAGTATAGAAATTATGAATTGAAACCGTGTGCGCCTTGCATGGTGCACACGGTTGCACAACATAACGTTCCGAGTATGCTTATTATTCCTAATGTATCAACGCAAATTGTGACGTGGAAACGTGTTTATCATGCTTGGGGAACACGGTTCCAAACGGCATCATTTACCGGAAAAAAAAAAAACTTAGTTAATGTGCTGTTAACGGCGTTTTGCATTCTATGTTCATATTATGAATTTACATTTATTAAATTATGAATTTTCTGTACATTCATAATCTCATAACAAAAAATTTATAATCTCATAATAGAAAATTTATAATTTCATAACAGAAAATTCATAATCTCATAAAAGAAAAACATTTATTAAATTATGAATTTTTTGTTATGAGATTATGAATTTACAGTTATGTAATTATGAATTTTCTGTACATTCATAATCTCATAACAGAAAATTCATAATCTCAAAAAAGAAAATTCATAATTTGGGCGAAGAGGAAGTGAAACCGCAAAATGTGAATATGAAGAAGAAAAGTCGTGCTGTTAATTAAAAAAAAAAAACACAAAAAAAAAAGGTTGGTGGAAGATAACGGTGCCCGTAGGCACCGTTACCGTTTGGGTCCGTGTTCACCATGGATGGTGAACACGGTTCCATGGCATAATGATTGATGTATCAAGGGTAGGGCCTATTTTATATTGGGTCTATCACTTCTAATATAGTTTAGAACTCTCAATATGGGCAATTTATATCCTACACCACGGCGCGCGTTGCACTATGCGCCCAGATGCAAAACGACGTCGTTTTAATTTTTTTTTTTGAAATTTCCCGCCCCAGTGAATGGCAGTAGTTTTTTCTTTAAAAAAAAATCCCGCTGTTCAAGAATGTACATAATTGTTATACTAGAATACACATAATTATATACATGAATGTACATAATTATATAACAAAATATACATACTCTTTTTAAAAGATAATATACATTATCTAACATAATACATAATAAACATAAACTTTTAACATAATACACATCAACTATTAACATAATACACACAAATTTTCTGATTCGGATGTACATAATTGTATAAAAAGAATGTACATAATTGTATAAAAAATGTACATAACTGTATGAACCAATACACATAACTGTATGAACAAATACACATAACTGTGTGAACAAATACACATAATCCCAGCAACTTCCTACCGTGCCTCCCAAAACGACGTCGTTTTGGGAGGCGCGCGGCGCACAGTGCTATGTGCGCCGTGGTGTAGGGTATAACGATTGCTCAATATCAGACAATCTAATCTCTTATTTTTTGTAGGGCTCCGGGCCCAAAAATATGTATAAGTAGCCCTGTATATATATACGAAAATGGGACAATTAATTCTTAGCAATATAACATATTTATTCTTTACACTAGTTTTTTACGCGCATTGCGCGATTAGGATAATGCCCAATATTTTTTTTAAAGTACTTTAAAGTATATCAAGGCAAGATTATATTGGAATTGTTCATGCATAGATAATTGAATGTTAAATTTACGCATTTAAATAGGCAATTCTAAGTTTACAAATAAAAATTAGGGCATAAAATATTAAATATATACTAATATTGAAGAGCTAACTGTTGATTGTCAAACAAGGACGTTGCGAGACAGTTTCCCACTTCAATTTATTGTGTGATTTGAATACTCTTTTTGTCAATATATCTCCCAAAGTAGTTAATATGATTGACTTAATTTTATTTATTTTATTTTGTTAAAACAATTACTATTATTATTATTATTATTATTATTATTATTATTATTATTATTATTATTATTATTAAATATATGTATACCCTTAGGTCATTTTACATGTTAATCTAAACAGCTAAATTTTTTAAATATCCTTTTACCAACCGTTGATATAATTCGCGTGTTAAATTCGCTAATATAATCCGCTAACACTAACCGCTAACTACTGATTGTCAAACAAGGGTATTGCGGGGTAGTTCTCACTTCAATTTGTTGTGTGATTTATTGTCAACAAATCCCTCAAATAGTTAATACGATTGGTTTATTAATTATATATTTTTAAATTTTTTATGGTATTAATAAAATACTTGGTAAATAAATATATAGCATTAGTTTGTATTATAACTTTGATATTTAATTAAAAAAAATTATGCACAAAAAGATAATAGACAATGTAATGAATATAATCAATTGATGAATTTGAACGTAAAAAATTTTTACATTAGAGAAATATAAAGATAATATAACTAATAAAATTATTTCTCTTAATTAATTTATTGATAATGAATAATTTTTTTGAATAAAGGCATTGTAGGGACAATGTAGCGAAAATAATCAATTGATGAATTTTAATATAAAGAATTTTTATATTGGAGAAAAATAACGACAATATAACTAATGAAATTATTTCTCTTATTTAATTTATTGATAATGAATATTTTTTTTTTGGAATAAAGACATTGTAGACACATACTTCTAAATTAAAGAAATGTATATGTATTATTTTTTGTTGTAGCTACTAAATTATTATTTAATTTAATAATAGTAAAATAGAGTACTAATTATGCCAACTTTGATTGGGATGGGGTTCGAACCTAAAGACCTTTATTATTGAAATCAATGAGTAAGTTAACGGTGAATTAACAGAAAAGATAATATTTAACGGAAAAGTTAACGGATAATCATATTCATTAAGGATAAATTAGGAAATCTTAAGGAAAAAAATTTAAATATGATCAATCTGAGCCATTCATTTGATTAAAAAA